AAACTTTTCTATTCCTGAACCATCGTGGGCCATATTTGCAGGGCCGAGGGGACCATCCACACCTGATAACATTGCACCTTGCAACAAATTGAGGGGGCTAATGGCAGACAAGTCCATCATGGCATAAAACCCTTTTTTTAAAAAAAATAATTAATTAACAAGTAAATTACAAACAAATCTCTGATTCTGGCTTCCATAGAGATTGCAAGTGGTGACCAAGTTTAGCTGTGACAAAATAACACTTACCGATTAAGAGAAGCTAATACTAGTGAAACTATATGCAGAGATCCTGTGACCACAATAATACCTGACCGATTCCATGTTCTTTCTCTAAGAATTTGATTAGCAAACCTCAAGGAATCTGATAGTGAATTCTCGGTGGCCACTAGAATTTCATGTTTTGAGTCCCTTGTTGAGCAATTATATTTGTCCTCAAACAATCCTCTATATTCTGCAATTCTATCATGAATAACTTTGATGCCTAATTCTCTGGAAGCCTGCATCCAACAATCTCTTAAAACAGATGCTGAAGTAGTTCGAGATGTGCCACTGGCAATGTTAGATTCCATTAGGAAGACAGCCTCTACTTGTCTACCTGAAAGAATATGGTAAGATTGCAGTTAAAGCTATCCAAGAAATCCTGTTAACTACCAAAAATATTAAGGCAATGAAAAACTGAAAAATTAAATTTCTTAAGGTACAACCCCGGAAGAAAATAAACAAGATTTATTGCATACTGATGATACCCCAGTCTCAAAGTTATCTCCACATTCTGGTTTTGTCCACTTCAGCAGTGATAAGATTAACTAAACTCATCATGAAAAACATAAGTTGGTTATTACCTGAAAGAAACTCTTTAGCAAAAGCTAAGTGGTCTTTATCACTAGCCATTGCAACCACAATAGCCAATCGTGAATCCGGAAATATCATTTGTATTGTGTCCAGCAAAGCTTTAGCAGATTCTTTCGTGTGGGCTAAATAACAAAAGCAGGCAGTCAGAATACCTTTTTAGACAAGTCACAAGTAGACAGTGGGAACTGAAAAATATATATGCAGAAAGAAAAATAAGATAAAATAGGAAAGAAAAACACTCTACAGTCAAATGAAAACATGATGAAGATTATTTCCTTCAAAATATGTCTTGGAATCCATCATTAAACTGAATGCTTTTGAGAATGAGAAGTTACCAGCAAAAGTTGAACTACCATCTCTGCCCATCTAAAACTAGAAAGAACAAACAAAGAGAATGTGAGAATAAACCTCCATCAATCAATACTGTTGCTCCTGGTAATCCTAATGTCTCAGCTTCTTTTGATGTTAGAAATTGGCTTCTTCCTTGCAAGCATGTATTCTCCAAGCCAGCCCTAATTGATCCATTGGAGATTTTCCATCCTGATATATCCATGAAAGCATCCAACGAAACAATGAGAAATAATAAAAGAGAACAAAACCTTCACAGGACTCAACAAAGCCTTAAGCATCACCGAAGTTTAGCTTACCATGTAATTTGATGAGTTTTCAATAATTCTTATAAGGTGAATCTAAGTAGAAACCAAACAATCAGGAATGACAAAGACTAGGCACAGACCTTGATTGCGAAGGCAAAGTGCTGTGCATGCTGCAGTCACTGCATTTTGAAGTTGATGAGTTCCGAGCATGGAAAGGTTTAGATCACATAACTCAATGGACTGTGTAAATTAAAAAATAATAAGTTCATGAAAGTGCTTCAAAGTACAAAAAGAATTAACCAAGATTACTTATTCCAATTAAAAACCAAGGCATACACAATTTCACTCGAGTAATGAGGGCCTTCATCAATGGAACTAAACAAAACTGCAAGTTATTCACAAAGTAATGTATAAAAGAAAATACCAGCGGAGAGTCACGGTCAAGTTGTATCATTAAGTCACAAGATTGGGAAGGTCTACCCTTGAACGTGCTGACTCCTTTTATAGCTGTTCTAATTCCAGAGTCAGATGCTGATACTATAGGCGAAGACATTGATAATGCTTTGTCACGAAGAATGCAATCAATGTGTGGTAGAAAAGGCCCACCTAAAATCAACTGAAAATTTGAACCATTAAACAGGTGTTAAATCTCATAAACAACTTGAATAGTAAATATTCATGAATTCATGTTAGTAGTTCATTTTAGTAAGAAAATCAGAGAATATGTCAGTTTATAAACAGGTTGGATAATTGCAAAAGTTATCATCAATGGCATCTGACCAGCCATCAAATCAACATATCAAGCAATATTCTGCTGGTGTAAATAAGTCACAGAATACATATCACCGTGCTTCCAGTAAAGCACACATCTCAAGCATCAGTAGTACAATCTGCACTAAAGTCTTTATCAACTCACTAAATAAAAAGTAGCATATCAGGACTGCATGCATACATTTAACAAGCAAAAGAATATCATCTACCAAGGATAACTGAGATTCCAATCTATGCCATTCTGAGAAAGTAAATGCCAAGCTCAACGATTGGATCCAATTAACTCAAAGCATGCATACACATAAAACAAACTTGTGCAGTGAAAATCACCTAACTGGACAACCATGTTTAATGATTCCAGCCTTTGCCATTGCAATACTTTCCAAAGAACCCCCAAGTGCAGCCAAATGTTCCTCTCCTATTGTCGTTATGATCGATGCAGCAAGTTCAGAACTAGAAATAATGTTGGTAGCATCCCTAGCACCTCCTAACCCAGCCTGTCAAATTACAAATAAATGTAAAGAGAAAAGAATGACAGTGAGTATAATGCATGCCCAACCATACACACACACACGCATCAGTGCTGAAAAGAAGACGTCAAAGAAATCAAATAACCTCAATGACTGCAATGTCAACATTCTCTTGAGCAAATAAAGTGAAAGCCACAGCGGTAAGAACCTGAAAATAAGTTAAGCAATGTTGCTTATCCAATAAAAATGACATTAAAAGACAAAAAGAATCTTGATATGGGTAAATTAATACGTACCTCAAAGTGACTAAGACATCCATTTTCAAGAATAATAGCCTCATCAAGACTTTGTTTAATCCTATGAAAAAGACAATTCAATGTCTTGGACGACACCGGCTTCCCCAATCTTCCTACTGACATACGTTCTCTTATACTAAGTATATGAGGACTGCTTAAACAAAAAAAAAATAATATATATATAATCACAAACTTGTAATGCAAAAACGACATCCAAATGTGAAACGGCAAATAAAAAACGTAGTCTTTTTGCCTACCTAGTATAACAACCAACAGAATAACCTTCCGTCCTTAGAATGTTGGATAAATAAGCTGCAGTGGATCCTTTCCCCTTTGTCCCAGCAATGTGAACACTCTATAATTTACCAAAAAAAAAGAACAATTGTCAGCAACCAAAACCAGGGAAAAAAAAACATAATTTTTAAAAAGAAAAGGAAAAGAAAGAGGACGAGCCTTGAAGTTGGACTGCGGGTTACCAAGGCGGTCCATTAGGCGTCTCATCCGGCCCAAATCGAACCCATCATCGGAGTCGGTACCGGCGTCTTTAGGGACGCCTGATTTCTCGTAGTTTTTGAGAGAATCGATGTATTGGATGAAATGCTTCAGCTCCGGTTCCTCTGTGTATGTCGAGAGCCATTGTTTGGATTCCAATCGAAACATTTTCAAGGGTTTCCAGCGTGTCAGAGTGGAGAATGGGCTGACAAGCTTTAGGATTTTCATTTCCTTTTTCCTTTTTTCCTCCCCTTTTTCCGTTTGTTTCCCGGAAAGTAGGATTGCTGCAGATGAACTTGAGTTACTGGTGACTGTTTACTCAATTCGAAATGGCGTCGTTTGATATTGGTCTGCTGTCCCGCGTAAGCTGACGTCGTATTGGCTGGCTTCTTTAGATATTTAGCCACGTTTAACTAATATCAACTAATCGTACTTTCCCACGTGTTAACATAAACCAGTGTTCCTGTCTTCTTCTCGCCTTCTTAGGCTCGTACCTAGTACTCTTCCCGTAATTCCTGCAAATTGTCAAAAAAAAAAGGAAGAAGAAACTGTAATTTTGGAGAGCGAAAGTATCCTGGTCCTTGGACAAAAATGTCCATGTTTCATTGTAAGTTTCCGTTATTATTTTTAACTTTCAGTGTGTTCTTTCTTACTCTCTGTTCGGTTACCGAGAAATTAGAGCCAAAGAAAAATTAGAAGTAAAAAAGGAATGTTTACTTTAAGTCTGGTTTTTAACTTTTTGAGCTCCACAAAAACGACGTGAAAGGGTAGGCAAGATTCCAGAACACAAACTTTCTTGCTTTTCTTCCGAAATATTTATATACTAACATCATTCAAGGGAATTAAAAGGAAGAGAATTTTTGTTTCTTGTTCTGAAATATGGCTGTTACCCTTTGTTTAGGTTTCTGAGAAAGCCAATAAATGGACAAAATTTTAGGCTTTTTTTTTGTCTTCTAGTATTACTCTTTAAGACTGACGCTTTCAACCTAATTTTTTTTTTTCATGACAAATTTCGTTAATGTATTCTGGGTTTCTGGTTTGATAGCTGTTAAGCATGGAGAAAATTTTGAAAAGTGGTTGTCTTTGTTGTTAGGTAGTTGAGACTGATGATGGAGACGAATTTGGAGGAAGTGGAGGGAAAAGTTCGGACAAGTGAGATTGATTGCAACGGAGAGGTGGGAAAATTTAGATGTTGTGAGTTGGAAGAGAGGAGCAGGAAAGCTGAAGCAAGGTGTGTGGAGCTGGAATTGGAGGTTCAAAAGAGGAAGAGCGAATATGAAGCACTTGAGACTAAATTTAGGACATTAGAAGCAGTAAAGCTTGCACTTGAGAATGAAATTAAGGTTTTAAAGAGTCGGAATCATGAGTTCTGCCATCTGATCGGTCAAAGTGACAATGAGAATCTAGTTGGTCATGGAGGAAAAGGGGTGATGGAGGGAGTTGTTGATTTGACTGAAGAGAATGATGAGGAAGATAAGGTTTTTAAGCTGATGACGGAGAATAGGGT